CTACCCCAAAACATCCCGCGTCCAGACTTTGATTTCATTCTTTAAAATTTTCAGTTTCTGTGCAAATCTGTAGCTGGCACAACCATCAGGCACTGTATTCCTCCAAGTCTTTTCCACAAACAATCGGAAATTCTCCTTCTCCAGTCATTTATTATCCAGCCAGAAAGGAGCAGGGCCCCATTTAATCCCATCCACCTCAATGCATATTGGATAATGATCTGAAGTAGGTCTTGCAAGAGTTTTGTGACTGACTCCAGCAAGAACCACCAATAAATTGACCGATACAAAAAACCTGTCAATCCTACACCTGCTATTTTGATTAGACCAAGTCCATTGCCTTTTAGAGAGTGGGAGATCAACAACCCCCAACCTCTCCATCCTCTTTTAGAATTCCTTTGCCTCCGCAACCGAAAATCTACTACCACTCCTCTCATACCCGTGCAAGGTCATGTTGAAATCCCCACCAATTATCCAGTTTCCTCCCCATTTGGTTTTGCAGTTCTGCAATTCGCTCCAAAGGGTTTCTTTTTCAGCTCTGTTTCCTCTGCAATATACCCCAGTGATCTTTTTTCTATTTCAAAGAAAAATAAAAAGGTAAGATGTTTCATACCTTCAATCAAGACTCCCACCCATTTACTAAATTTCTGAACGTTATTTGCTAACCACAGTGAACAGCAGTCTACCTCCTTTGTGGTGATATTCACGTCCTCCAAACCAATCTACAGGATTTTTTCAATTTCTGTCTCATTCCCAGATGCAAGAGCCTGAGGATCATCATCTACTGTTACCAACGCCAGATTAGAGAACGACTCATCCTCCATTAACGAAGCTCTGTTGTCATTATCAAAGTCCAACATCGTAGAGAACATAGAGACCTGCTCATCATCATCTCTCACTTGGGATTTTCCATTCAGGGACCACTTCACAATCGTTACCAATCTCACTCGTCGCCTTTCCCTCAAACCCTAATTTTTCACCTTTGACACTTCGGACCTCCTTTTCCTTTGCGATTTCCTTTCCAGCGACAGCTTCATTTTAATTCCTGAACATTCCCCCCAGGTTGGATTAAAACCCATGCCCAAACCAGTTTCGCAAGCTAGACCTGCTTCTATTTCTAGGGCTGCAACCCATTTCTCCTTCTCTTGCCAAGTGTATTTGTTTGTCTTGCCCAGCCCATGCAGTTTGGTTTTATTCTTGTTCAGGCCTGTCATTCGTGCATAGCCTTTACCCTGAAGCCTAGGACAACTAGAATTTCTATCATTTTGGGCAAACCCCTCCTCTATCTAATTCGAGTCAACCCGGGGTCAACCCGGTCCACCTCCTCTCCATGCTTCCTTTGCCTTACCCGTTTCGCTTCTCCTTCACCTTTCTTCAGCACTGCCGCGTATGATTTTGGAGCGCCTCCATCCATTGCAACATTAATCGGAACATTGCAATGCGAACATGGAAAGGATAACTTCCACGGCCTTTCGGGATGACTCACCTTTTCAATGTGCCCGCTCTTA